GGTGTTCGCGATTGACTGCGCGAATCCGGTGGAGGATCTCTTCACTGGAGAAATTCCTGCAGGAGCGCATCAAGGTCGGCGGCAAGCCGGTGACGATTGGGACTCTGTTACCGTCGTCAGGGATAAGACGAAGATCTCTGTAACCTCCAACGACGCCTCCTTCTCCAAGTGGTAACTCTTTTCTGATTTTTATTTTTATTTATTTTTGGTGTTTTTGTTTGCTTGCTGTTACTGTGCGGAAATGGCTATTTAGATTCTTACGATAAGAAATGGATTGATGAATTTGGAATTAGATCTGTGTGTGTGTGTGTGTGTGTTTGTCTCTGTGTCTTTTGATCTTTTTCATAAAAAGTGCAAGTATGATTAGCCAACAGGCAATCAACCGTTTTGCTATGTAATCATCGGATGGCTCGATTTATAGAGTCATTCATACTTATTCACAATAATATATTGACACGTTTTGCTATGTAATCATCGGATGGCTCGATTTATAGAGTCATTCATACTTATTCACAATAATGTATTAACACGTGTCTTACAATAAATACAACTAGTACAACACCCGTGTATTACACGGGTGTTTGCTATTTTTTTTCTTAAAATCTAAAATTAATGAGAAAAAAGTAGTTTGAAAATTTAAATACCTTTTATAAAAATATATATATTAGTATATATTTATTATGACACTTTTTATTTGTGCAACTTATTTGTGTTATATTATACTATTTTATAACTACATTACATATAAATATATCAATTAAAAAAAAATTTATTTTTCTAATGAATTTCAATAAATATATTTATTTTTATTATTATAAAGAAATATAATTTATTTATTTCATATATATACAATATGGATATCAAATCGAAGATCATCAAAAGATGATTAATTTGATATATTATATATGTAAAACCGATAAGAAATACAAAAGTTATCAACTTTTAAAATACATTTATAATTCAATAGCTTATTGAAGGAAACAAATCAAAATTCATGGATATATTAGCCACTTAGTGCCTCACTATGTAAAATTATAAAGAATTAAAGGGTTATATTAGTAAAAGTGATATTAAAATACCTAAATTAGCTAAATAATATTTATGGAATACCCGAACCTAGATTATTAATTATTAATATATCAATATTATTTATCCAAACCTAATTACGAAGCATGATTCTTCGCCAAATAGGATTCCGAAGCACCAGAAGTAGCCACATAGGCTCAGCGCATTCCGTAATTATATATTAGGAGGATTTGGACAGATGTCAATATATTAAGTGATAGATGACTCCATAAGAAAACTATCCCATGGCTGCATATAATTTTTGCTCAATTGTATTTTTCTGTGAAGGCATGGCAACAAAGTTCTATGGCACTCGTGTTTTGTTCTTTTGAAAGTTGCACTTTGTGGTATTTTCAAGTATATGAATATTTTTTTGGTTGAAATAAGCAAACTTTGAACCATACAGTCAAATCAAAGAGTGTAGTGAAAATATATGTAATCTTAATTACATCATTTGGGCCACAAATAATAGGAAGATGCTACAGTCCCAATTCTGAGATTTGCAACCGTTAGATCAACTATTTTGGACGGTTACATAATGATCTAACGGTTACGAACCCGACAAAATAGTTCAACTATTCTGGACGGTTACATAATGATCTAACGGTTATGAATCCAACAAAATAGTTCCGTAACGGCCCAGATAATAACAACACATTAGTAAAACCATTAAAACTGTGGTTTCATATTGGTTTTTGTGCACTCACCACATTGTTTTAGTGAGCGAGCTTTTTGTCAAGTTTCATTGTAATGCACCACGATATTGCAATCAAACTTGTATAAATAACATTTTCAGTCTCGAATAGTTTTGATCTGGGCTTCCAATTTTTTTATGGAAGAGTTTGTTTTCTTAATGAGCATGTGTTATCATCTAAATATACTTGTTACTTTTGTTTGCAGGTACTCGAAATACTCGAGTAACTCAGACAAAGAAATATCTGAAGAAGAACATTGTTCGTGACTGGCTCCGGGTTGATAGCATCTAATTTGTTTGCTACTTCAATGTCTCGTTACCCGACCCAGAAAAAAAAAATAAATAAATAAAGAACACTTATGTCCCCCGAGAGAGAATGAGATGCATACAAAACACGCACTACTGAAAGTTCGGATTCACAACACATGCTTAGATACAAACCTGAAAGTTACATTCATACCCTATATACAGAGCTAAAGGTACACAAGCTAGCAAAGAAAACTCATACAACAGAACCAAAAATAAACAGAAAATCCCGAACACAGACTAGCGACATTAAGTAGAAAAGACGATCATGTCCTCAAATCTCAAAGGTCGTACGGAGGAGGAGGACTTTTGGGGCCCACTCCATTAGCCCTCTCGTAAGCAAACGATGCTGACCTCCTACGGAACCGGAAAGCTTCTTTCCCTCCGGCACCTAGTTCGACATTATCCAACAACACATTTGATAGAAATCACAATCAATTTCCAAGGATCACTAAAATTCTTATTCTAAGGTGCTAAGCCTTTCTAAAAAAATTGGTATTCATACCGGCCGATTGAATATAAATAAAAACCAGTTTTAATTGATTTGATTGGTTTTAATTGATTTGATTGGCTAAGGTCGATAATTTTTAATGAAATTGATTGAATGAGATTTGTAATTAAATAATAATTAAAATTAGTGATTGAAGTTGATTAAATTAGATTTGTAGTTAAATAATAATTAAAATTGATGTGATTTAAAAATAGAAGATATCTTAGTACAAAATAATAAGTATATAAAAATATGTGAGTCGATTAATAGTGCGTGCAAATTAAATTAATTTTGAGTTAAAAGAGACAATTGCCCTACATGTTTGTGTATCCAAGGAAAGTTAGGCCAAAGGTGACATAATTATTTTTAAAAGCAGTTATTAACTGGATTTTTCCACATAAAATCCAATGCAGTCATCATCTTAGACCCCACCAATCACCCGGCCATAAGCAGCCTAAATATATTTAATGACTATATTACCCCCACAAACCACCTAAAATGACCAGAATACCCTGCCCTTGTGCCCAAGAATGTTCTAGACAGAGCCGCCAATCGCCATGTATGTGAACCCCTATGAATCTATCTACCAACTTGAACAGCTAAAGCAATCGAGCCGTGAGCTGGAAAGAAAAACTTACCGGAGAAAGGGGACACCGGCGGAGAGGATCCTGCCGGAGAAACTGGCGGCGAGTCCTTCTGGTTGGCCTGTGGCGGCTTTACGATCATTATGCTTCTCGTCACTCTCACGGCGTCCCCGCCGGCTTCTTCTCCGACGGATCTCCCACTGTTCGCAACTTCTGGTTCTGCAAACACCGGATTTCAAAATTTTCCAGATTCAAAATCACTTAAATTTAGCATTTCGAATAATTTCTCAAATTAGAAAAAAAAAAAGACGAAAAATCGGGAAATTTCAGCTCAACTCGTTCGAAACTCGATTACAAATAGCGGGATTACATTAATTATTTGCATCGATTCACTCGGCTACATGATTATTAATTTAGTTTTGGCTCTACCGCCGTGCGTACCCTTGCCGGAGTTTGACCGGAAGCTAAAGGTTGAGTGTTTCCTGAGTTTGCCGAGGCCGGTGTCGGGCCGGGGACCCGCAACCGTGTCGTCCCAGAGCTGGTCAAGTAGACTCATCGGATCACAGTTTTTTCAGAGACTGGAGCCTGCGCACGTTAGCAAGAGCAGCGAGATTTGAGTCCGTCTTATTTAGCACAGAGAGTGCGCAGTTTAAAGCATGTGACGATATTTATGGATGGTTGATGAAGATGGAATATCCACCGTCCGATCAGATCTAAAAAAAGTGACGTGTAGGGTCGAGCAATAAGTGCGTGACAATTGGATAAGATTGAGAGTGAAGCTAATTTATTTCTATTCATTTCCAATCTTTATTAATTTTGAAAAACTATATTTTAATATATTAAACTATAAAATAATTTGATTTGTTAAAGTATGTATTTTATCGAGCTATAAAAGTTTGGTGGGACGAAAAGAATTTGTTTAAAAAAAGTATTTTTTGAGTTATACATTATGTTTAAACTTTAAACCATATAGAA